CATACGCTTAGAGTAGTCCATTAGTATTTCCCTGCAACAATTTTGTAAAATAAATGAAACACCACACCTCAATTTTTATCACCACATAATACATTATTCAATTAGTGGTTGACTTTCTAGTTCATATTCAGAACATATACCTACATGGTCTTGGAAATTCTTCTGAACTGGGAGGATTAGGAGCCATTTTAAAGAAAATGTAATCTCTCCAATTTGCAACTCAAACAGAAGGGCTATACAAATCAAAATTGCTAGCATGAACCACCTTTTTCGTGATATCTCGAGTGTAATATTATTTCTTAATCTCAATATCTTGCTCAAAAAATTGTCGTGCTCCTCGCAACATTTCATCAAGGACAGATATTGGAATTCCATGATTAACCACTTGGAAGAAACCCCATGTCTCCGATGCATCTCTTACTTTGTCCACAATCTCTTTATGCTTGATTGAGTCCATCTTGTCGATGCTTTCAAGTTCAATCACCGGAAAAATAAAGTGTGTGTCACATGTATCTGAGGAATCTGTCCTGTTTTTTGGTGGTAGAATGAATATTCGAGGTATCTTAGTGATTCCGGCATCAACAAGCCATTTGACACCAGCCTTTGTATCATCAAAGGCTTTTAACTCAATCATTTTGTCATAATTACTTGTCTGATCAACTGTGGCCTCCAAATTCTCAGTGCTAGAGATTACCATCTTCTTTGCTAGGATGCTATAAACAATTAGGGGGATAATAATAAATACTTATTACTATTCATGAACAACACTATCATCCCTAATGTCCACAAAAAAAAGAAGAGGCTATAAACAAGGAGATCTTCATGATAAGCTTAAGTCCCTTTCACTGGTCACTGTCTTAACCCACTAAAAAGTTTCAACCCCACCTATATTCCAAAAATAGAAGGCTTATGGAAGGTAGACAAGCAGAAAAAAGCAAAAAAAATTGTCACTATAGTTAATTGTGTTGAGAATATAATTACGCGTAGGAATAATATCCACGACAAATAACAAGAACAAGAGAGTAACAAGGCACCAAGTTCTTTTAGCATGGAAAGTATAATACTTGAGCTGAGCAATATAGTTCCATTATCATGAGAAGTTTAACATTTTGTAATCTGAAAAGACTACTATATACTTAAAATGACCTTTTATTTTGCACACCTTTCATTTTATACTACTCTCACTTTCTATTTTTTCTCACGGACTATTTTCTCACACTATATCTGTGGATTACTGACGAGGCAAATGTGTATCAAATTTCGCTGCTCATATTCTGTTCTCACGCTAAAATGAGTAATTATCTTCTATTTCTCTGTTTATTGCATTTTCCAAAAAACAGTATTTAACTTCTTCCTATTTTTTGCATCTCTTAAATTGAACATTTAATTTAGTTAAACCATTTGGTCCTATGGAAACTGTTTTCTTGGAAAACAAGTTGGTTTCTCACATATTTCTAATATTTGGTTGGTGAGTGAAAAATATTTTCTAATATTTGGTTGGTGAATGAAAAATATTTTCTAGAAAATATTTTTTATTTTTGGCAAAACATTCGAAACAGAACCCGCCGACCCCTACACCCGACCCGACTCCCAATCCAAAGCCCAACTTCCAAATGGAGACTTGACCCCGACTTCAGAATTGGGACCCGACACCAAATTTTGACCTGGGATCCGAATTTCAAATTAGAATACGACCTCGATCTTGACAACCGATCTAAGATCCAATCCCAACTCCTGAATCGGGATCCGACTTCTGAATAGGGACCCGACGCTAACACCTAACCTAGGACCTGATGCCGACACCCTAACGTGAGACCCAACATCTGAATTGGGACCCGAATTTTGTAACCCCCGACTTCTAATTCTAACGCCTGACATATTTTATACCCACCGAAAATAATTGCATCCATCGTTTTCCTCAAATAACAAAACAAGGAAACAAGTGAATATCTAGATATTTTAAAGAGAACAACTTAAAATGTTTACCTTTGAATGTGCACAACAATAAAACTTATAACGACTGAAATTTCTTAGAGTCCTCGATATTTTTATTTTATAATACTCTTTGCATTTACATACATCTTGTTCAATTGAATGTACATACCTTACGAACTGTTGAGACATAACTATCAAATTTTAAAGACCAAATATAAAATTAGTAGAAGAAGATAAAATATGAATGAGAAAATGTGAAGTGAATAACCCCATATTTATTGTTGAAGAAGAGATGTAGTTTTACATGAAAAGTTAACTAATAAAAGAAATTGTAGTACACCCGTTTATGAGCGAAATATCTTAAATTATTTGTGAGGTATTTTGGGGTGAACATACGGAGTTAACATTCGTTTGGCATAATTTATCCGTTTGTGGGCGAACTGTTTGTTTTGATTTGTGTTTTTTGAGAGGAACCATTTTAATATGTTGTATTAATGTAAATAACTCTAATTAAGGTGATAAGAGAGATACAAATAAAATAAAGAATATAACTTCTCACTCTCTTAAGGAAGGTGTATATGTCACTCTTTCTGCCACATCAACATATATATGGGCATCTATTCCACTTTAAAATAATATAAGGGGTTCATATGATCCTCCCAAAATTAGAGTGTATAACAACAATTTTGATTGAAGTTTAAGTGGTTTTTAAGTCGTTTCCCAAATTTATTTGATTTTAAGATTTTAAATACTAAGCTAATTGTAAATGAAAAGGTTAATAATATATATTTCTCATATTCTATTTTTTAGTTATTCAGAAGCGTGAAATTAAAAAACTAATATGATATTCATGTGTTATTATTTGTACAGAATAAAAAAGAATACTACACCTTGAATAAAAAAAACTGATCAAAATTTGACCCCTACGAAAAATGTATGATGTGCTTATTTACTTTATACAAATATAGTATATTATCATCATATAATATCATATATTATTAATCATCATCATATCATATATCATATCATCATATATTACTATAAGTGGGAGCAAATAAAGTTAAAAGTTGAATTACGGTTTTACCCCTTCTATAAATTAAAATGTTATAAAAATACTTAACTATTTAATTTAAATATTAAATTGTATCATTTTAATAAAAATGTTAATGACTTTCACACTTCCTAGATTAATTCTTAATTAAAGTATCTAATTTAATAATATTTATCATCTATAATCTATATGTATATTAAATTTAATCAACATAGCATCATCATATCATATATCATATTATATATTATATTATTTATATTGAAAGTGGAAAGTACCAAAATGCAAAGTTGGATTACCATTTTACCCCTACACTAAATTATATTTTTATAAAAAAACTAATTAATTAAATATTAAATATTTGCTGTCATATTTTAATTTGTTATTGGTATCCAATAGTAGATTCCAAATATTTGAACTATTTTTTGTTTGAAAATGAACGATATTCATGTAATTAATTATAAAACTACTTTTAATACAATGATAATTTAAAATAATTTATGTTAGATGGGTACACGTGCAACCAGAAACTAGTTCCCTCAAATAAATAAATGCAATTTGAATTGTGTCCAGAAACTAGTTCCCTCAAGTGACAATATCTCATCTTCTCGGCTACTCTTCTTAGTAACTTGCAACTTCTTTACAAACCAAATTGATGAAGTATGAGATTTAACTGCGATGAAAATCTGAAAGAGGAACACTTTATGATTTCACTTTATTTGAACTTTTTACAATTAATTTTGATGTCATTATTACGTTGGCGTGATTCATGTCTTTAAATTTTGACGACCAAAGTTGATTTCCTGATATAAGATAATAATGCAACTCCAACATGAAAAATGGAAGCTATAATGCTGATTAACTTCAAAATCTCTATTCCAATCTGTAATTATACAAAGCTTTCAGTTGCCTATTTTCACCTTCTATGCAATCTATTTGAGCTAACATTTATAAAACATGACGTCACGACTCAATAAACAAGAATCTGTTGATTTCTACTTTCTTGTTGACAAAAAGAAGTAGCAACGCAACATGAAGGAATTGAGCGGAGCAATGCTTTGTGAAGATCACCAGCAGCTACGCCTGTCTTGATTAGCCAAATGATGTTGTCCATGAAGGCTGAATCACAGGGTAATGTAATAGGGCCACTACTTGGCAGACCAAACTCTTCTTCGGAAATGCTTAAAAGTTGCATAATGACCTCATTTTCAAGGTAAGTCAAGGGAAATGCATAGCTCCTTTGATCAATTGTATAGACTACAAAATGACCCTTTTCAACTATAGAGGATGAAGATGTACTGCAACCATCTGCATTACTGTCATTTCTTGGAAATGAAATCCTCTTCCTCTGCTTGGCTGCAAACTTCTGCCATCTCCTGGCCATCTTGATGAGTTTCTTCGCACTGAGCATTGTCATTCTTTCTATTTTTCTTCTTCTTGAAAGGTTGGAAATAAGAAATTTAGAACAATTTGGTGTCTGAAAAGATAATGCTTGTTGTTGATGATGAAAACATATCACAGAAAGGGGGTTATTTATATAAAAAGGCTTTGGATTGGAGTTGAAGTTTTTGTCACTAACCACCGAAGGAAAAGCCATGTGCTGATGCTTGTTGGCTATGCTTATATGGGGCCTTAAATTTGTGGATGAAGCTAGTTTGAAAGGATGACAGATCATAATTAGTTTCCTAGTTTTAATCAAAGAGGTTGATGCATTTATTCATTTCTCTGTCACCATATCATTAACTTCATCCATTCTTGTGGACCTAGTGTTGTTCATTCACAAATTTATGGAGTGAATACTTTGACAACAACAGAATAGGCAAAACCATGTGAACTTCATGTGCTTTTTGTCTCTCAAATTTCTCTTCACCACAAAAAATATGGGTACGAAACTTTCCATTAGCTTATATATATACACACAAAGCATTTGAGTAGAAAAGTGTGTAGAAGTTACAAAAAAAAACCTTTCATTGTCTGTGTGATTCTCAAAATTCTTCTTCTTTCTTTGCCTTCATCATTTGGAGTTACAAAAACATTTCTTGAAGAAAATGGCTAACCGGTTCTTAAGGAGGTCTTCAACATCCGGAGGTGTTCCAAAAGGTCATTGTGCAGTGTATGTAGGAGAGAGCCAAAAGAAGAGATTCGTCGTGCCAGTATCATACTTGAGCCAGCCTCTATTTCAAGACTTGTTAGCTAAAGCAGAAGAAGAGTTCGGCTTTGATCATCCAATGGGTGGTCTTACAATACCTTGCAAAGAGGATGTGTTTGTTGATCTTACTTCCCGTTTAAGAAGATCGTCATAGTGAATATTCTTCAACAAATGAAATTGTGTAGAATAGTAGCGCTTGTAAATGAGAAAGAGAATACTAAGAGAGGAAAATTTACTGTATAGTTCAAAATTACAAGAACCTAGGCTAGGAGGGAAATTTTTTCTTGTTTATGAATAGAAAATGGTCTACTTCTGATTATTCTCCATTTTGGTAATATTTGTTTAAGGAATTCTTTTAATCACTAAGAATTTTTCTGCTAAACAAAGTAATGAAGCACTTGCTTGCAACAGCTTCACCTTGTGGTGCAAACTAGCACAGTCATTTAGCGGAATAAGAATGACAAGGAACAAAAAGTTATCTAGTTAATGATTTTGTGGTGATAATATCAGCTTGATAGAAGCTACTTTTGATTCATTTATTCCTAGAATCTATTCATTAAATTGAAATGCAGCTCATCCCATTTACTTTGAACTTCTTACTAGAAATTGTACCTTAATGCCAACAAAGATATAGAGAACTTTAATATTTACACTTCTAATTTATTTGGTATAATGTTAGCTTGTGTTTAGTTTAAAAATGGAGAAGCATTGTAAGTGATCGGGATTCTTATAGCCAACCCCAACACTAGTTTAGGACTGAGCCATAGTTATATGTTGCATGATTATGGGTCGAACTCTAAATTAAAGTGGGTGCACATGTAGCACAAATATAGATGATAATATGATGAAGGTCATTAGATAGGATCCGTCATATCCTACGTGGACCTTCAGATGAAAACATCCATAGGTGCAATGGTATGGATAGAGATATGATTCATATAAGTGAGTTTAAACAGTTTGAGTTCGAGGCAAAGTTGATCTACGTAGTGTGAAGAGTCAAGACATTCACGTCATTTAGACTTTCTTCGATCAAGGAGGTGCTGCAGTTAGTGAAATGTTTCTGCTAAACAAAATGGTATTTATACATAAAATTAAAGGTACCAATCAAAGATAAGGTTGTTCTGACTTCTCATAACCAAATTGAAAGTGAAAGCCATGATCAGTATGGTAAATTTTCTGATAAAAATAATATTTGATCTGTATGATGTGCTTTACAATTGTATACTCTTCAATCTCCGCCTTCTCTAAAAACTACTTTTGAGCTAGCATGTACAAAAAGAATGTTGACCTATTTGCTGAGCACCACTTTCTTGGTGCAACGAAAAAGTTGAACAGCAACGTGAAGGAATTGATAGAAGCACTGCATTGTGAAAATCTGCAGCTACGCCTTTCTTGATTAGTGAAACGATGTAGTCCATGAAGGCTGAATCACAGGGTAATGTTATAGGACAACCACTTGGAAGCCCAAATTCTTCTTCAGACATGTTTAAAAGTTGCCTAATGACCTCATTTTCAAGATAAGCCAAGGGAATCACTGTAACATCCGACAATTTAAAAATGAATATGAAGAAGCTTGAAATTTGGAAATAGTCTTTTTTTTGAAAAAATTTAAAATCTGGAAATTTGGCAGTCCAGAATCTGGAAAATTTGGCTAAGTTCAAAAATTTGGAAATTTGGCTAAGTGTGGAAATCAGTGAGTTTTTGGCCAACTTTGAGTAGTCATAACTCCTAGCTCAGGATGATTTAGGAGTAGTTCCAGTTATGGTTTCGAAGCTTGTGGAACGATCTTTCCAACGCCACTGAGTTTGCTCAATTCCGAGTTCGTATGAGCGAGTTATGATCTTTGAAAGTTGGGCAGTTGGCAGGGATTCCGTTCCGGAAATTTAAGGGCGTTTTGGTCTTTTCACAAATCATTTCTTTTGAGCTTATATTGTTGTATTAGGCTGATATTTGGATCATTCTGTCCCATTTTGAAAGAGAAAGAGTTAGGGTTCAAGAGAAGAAGAAGAGAAGAAGGAGAAGAAGAAGAGAAGAAAGAGGAGATCAACAAGATTGGTCAAGATCATTGTGGATTTTCGTCGGGGGTGATCCCTATCAAGGTATGTGAGTCTTTAGTGTGGGTTTATCCTTTCCCCCCACATACCAAGCTCGTTTTTATGATTTGAGAAGAGATTGGATTTGTTGTTGAAGTTGTTAGTTGTTGTTGATGTTGTTAGTTGTGTTGTTGAAGTTATTGTTGGTTGTGGGACAGGATTGGGCTGTGTATTTGAGTTGTGACCTATTGTATATTGAGGGATTTTATGATCCTTAGTGTTGGTTGGTTCATACCCCCACACACCAACTCGTTTTTAATTCCAAGAGAAGATTTATTGGTTGTTGAAGTTGTAGTGGTGTTGTGTTGAAGTTCTTGCTGATTTAGTACAGATTTCTGGCTGTGATTTTTGAGTTGAATCTATTGTATAATAAGGGTCTTTATGATTCTAAGTGTTGCTGCTGAAACCTTGAGGTTGAGAGGGTTTAGAATTGGAAAGAAACAAGGGGAAAAAGTCGGATTTTTGGGGAAAAAGGGGTTGGGCTGTTGCACCTCTCCTAGTGCCAAGGACACCAATCCTTCCCTTTCATTCACCATTTCTTTTTTTATACATGTTCCTAGGTATTATACCTATGTTTCCTAGTTGTTTCCAACACTCCAAGGTACTTCCAAAAGTCAAGTAAAACTACAAGTCAAGTGAAGTTAGTTTCCAAGTCAAGTGAAGTTAGTTTCCAATTCAAGTGAAGTTAGTTTCCAAGTCAAGTGAAGTCAAGCTTAGAAGTAAGTAAGTCAAAGCAAGTCTTTAAGGTTTTCCAAGAGTCTTCATTGAGCGTTTTAACTTCATTCTAAGGCTCAAGTTCCAAGTTAAGTATTGAGTTTCAAGTCAAGTCAAAAGTTAAGAGTTTCATGTTAAGTTAAGAGTTTCACATCAAGCCAAGAGTTCAAGTAAAGTAAAGAGTTTAAAGTTGAGTTCTTTTCTCAAAGTTATTAGGGAACTATGTATTCCCAAAGAAGTTTTAAAGAAATGTTTTTACATTTAAACAAGGTTGGAAACTGAGATTTCCAAAAAGCCTTCGGGCTAGTTTTTGAGTAATTATCTCATATCAGCAGGAAGAAATATGTTTTAAAAACATAAGAGCCAGTACATTTTTGGGAGTAGTATCGAGCACCGAATTGGGGGAGCGTTCAAAGAACCCACAGCCCCCATAGAACCATGTTAGCCACCATGGGTAGAAAAGGATCATACTTTTTAGATGAATCCTTTTCAGATTAGACTAGTGGATCCATTAGGCAGTTCAGGTCTTATACCTTTGGCCGGGTATAAGATGCTCTGGCAGCGTGAGGTCGATCGCTGTATCATCACTATAGCTCTTATGTGATGGTTGTCGGTTAGAGAAGCTCCCACAGCAGTTATTGTATTTTTCATACACAGAGATTATTGTATTTTTTATATACATCAGTTCATTGTATTTTTATACACATTTCAGGCTTATTGTATCCTTGTATACACACAGAGTTCATAGCATGTTTTAAGCAATCTTTCTTTATATCGCACTTGTTTTAAATTGCCTTATATTGAAAGAAGTCAGTCAGGTTGAGTTAAGTTGAGCCAGGTAAGCTATTCAGTTTCTTCCAGTTTTCCTTCTAGCCTTTGTTGCTTAGTTTTCCAGCTTGCATACTCGTACATTCCATGTACTGATGCCAGTTGGCCTGCATCGTTTGATGATGCAGATTCAGGTACCCCGGATCAGCATCCTGCACGTCGTTGATCCAGCTGAGCACTCCAGAGTCAGTGGTGAGCCTCCTTGCATTCCGGAGGACTCAATTATTTTGTGTTCTTAGTTTTTGTTTTATTAGGATGTTGCGGGGTCTGTCCCAACATCCATCTCAGTATTTTAGAGGCTTCATAGACAGACAGTCAGTCAGTTAGTTTTGAGTCTCTCATCTATATATATATGTAAATATTCTATTTTGAGATTCGAGTTGCCTTTATGGCCATATTTTATAAGTTAAGTTGTTTTGTAATATTGCATTGCATTGAGTTATTCTGTTGAGGTTTCCGCTGAGTTAAGAAAGCCAGGCCAAGGGTTCGCTTGGGGCTAGAAATGGTCTCCGGGTGCCGGTCCCGCCCAGGGTGTAGGCTCGGGGCGTGACAATCACGAAGCGCCTTTGATCAATTGTATAAACTACAAAATGGCCTTTTTCAACTACAGAGGATGACACACTGCAGCTATCCGCATCACTAACATTTCTTGGAAGTGAAATCCTCTTCCTCTGCTTGGCCGCAAACTTCTGCCATCTCCTGGCCATCTTGATGAGTTTCTTAGCACTAAGCATGGTCATTCTGTCTTTCGTTTTTACTTGGAAGGTTGGAAACAAGAAAGTAAACCAACAATTTAGAACAATTTGATGGTTGAACAGATAATGCTTGTACTTGATGATGAATAAATATCACATAAGGGGGGTTATTTATATAAAAGGCTATAGACAGGCTTTGGGTTGGAGCTGAAGTTTTTGTCACTAACCACCGGAGGCAAATTCATGTGCTGATGCTTGTTGGCCATGTTGATAAGGGGCCTTAAATTTGTGGATGAAATATAGTAAGTCAACAACCAAATCACGCCTATTAGTTATGATATCAGCTCATACTTGGTTCTTCTCACCAATGCAAATAATTTGAAACCATTAAATGTACAATAGCTGGTGAGAAGCAAGACCATGTTCTTCTCCCTTCATTTTCATATAGATAGGGGGCATTTGAATATCATCTTGGCTATCCTGTGTTGGATCTCTGTCACCATATTTTCAAACCAAATGGTCCAGGGCAAAGTCCCCATCTTCATCAATCTAATGGATTTTATTGTAAGAGTGTCTTTTTATTACAAATCATGAGAAGACGAGGGGCCTAGTCTTATTATTCAACATATTTGTGGTTCAAATAGTTTAGAGAATAAGCAATACCATGTGAAACTTCATATGCAATTGTCTCCTCACCAGTAGTCACCAATTTCACCACCACTAAATATTTGGATATCAAACTTGTCATTAACTAGTATATATACACATACTAGATCCAGACTTGCAACAAACTTTCACTTGTTATGTATTACCGAAAAGTACATTTCTTTTAGGTCGTCATATAAATTTTAAAGTTACGAAGTATCTCACAATTGGTATTAAAATGACTCCTCTTATTCAAGGTACTTGAATCTTTAGGAGGTTTTCAACTTCAACAGGTGTTTCAAAACGTCATTGTGCAGTATACGTAGGAGAGAGCCAGAAGAAGAGATTCGTAGTGCCAGTATCATACTTGAGCCAACCTTCATTTCAAGATGTGTTAGCTAAAGCAGAAGAACAGTTTGTCTTTGATCATCTGACAATACCTTGCTAAGAGGATGTATTCATTGATCTCACTTCCCGCTTGAGGATATCATTAGTATTGCGGTACAAATTTTTCTGCTCCGGTGAGATTTTGTGTAATGATAGGCCTAGAAATGAGAAAGAGGAGACTCTACAAAGGTCAATTTTGTTTTTAGTGTCAGCATTGTGCTATATGTACAAATACTTCAAGAAATGATATTAAGGACATTTCAAAATGAATTAGCTGAAAAGATTATCTCTTTATATTTCTGAATATATATATCTATTTTGCACCAAGAAATATTCTTCCTTCAAATATTTCCATCTTCTACTAGCACAAGCACAACTTTCCATTTGTAGATCTTTAGTCAACTTTATAGCCTCCAGGGGTAGAGTCAAGTAGGGCCAAGATAGTTCGGCGAAAAAAATACATTGCTTATACATGGTTAAATCATTTTTATGCATATATATAGTAGATGTGGAACTCCATTTGTCTTCTTCGTGTGTTTACTTTTTATATTTTGAACCCCTTTAGTGAAAATACTGGCTTCACCACTGATAGCCTCTTCTTGTTCATTCTTTCCATCAAACAAGTAAACGATGGACTTCAAATTCTAAAATAAATGCATAAAGCTTTCTATTAATTCATGCATTTGATCATACCAAGTAGTAACAAACTTTGGTGTTCCATAGGATAAACTTCAAACGTCAAGAAAAAAATAGTCCAAAAAGCAAAGTCAGAGAAGCACCTTAAATTGTGTACAACTACATCGATTATAGTGCAGCTTAACCCCTTGCATTCAACAGATTTTTGGATCTTCATCCATGTCTTAGATATCATCTATTAGCTATTGGCCAGTCCAATATGCATCGTGCTAACAAGTGTGTTTACATAAAACAGTAAATGCTTCAGATTCTGAAGTCTTGAAAATTATACCTTCATTATATGCTGGATCCTTTTTTCCACTTCAATCGGCTCGGGAAGAGGAGTGGAAACAAAGGATCAACCGCCCTTTTCAGTGTTCAAAATTTCTTAGTTCTTTTCGTGTTTAATACATAGTAATTGCTTGCAAATTGAAAACTGCGAATGGAATTTGGTGGAAAATTTACTCGAAAGAGAAGATTAACAATAAGGAAACTAGATCATCTTAATTGAAATTAGTCTATTGCGGAAGCTCAAAACCGGTGCATACCTATGCAGTTAAGTCAATAATGGAACAAAATTCACTTTTTTCTTATATAGAAAAATGATCTAATGAAGCTTTTGGCATAACTTTCTTTGAATTGGTAATATCTTCTTAACAACTAATTGAGAAATCTACAAGTTATATATTTCTGATGCAAGACCATTAAAAAGCCAATGAAAAAGTAAAACAAATTTTCCAATATTATCATAGAACAAGTTGGAGTCAAGTATATGAAGTTTTTGATTAATACTTTTGTTTTTAACATTCTGTACACTTGTTGAGTATCATGTATCCACTACAAAACTTATCACAGTTAGCTTAACAAACTAGCAATTGCAGGTTTCTTTGTTCTTGAAGGTATAAAGCTGATGAGCATTGGCTGGAAGAGACAGATACAAGCAAAGCATTCTGAAGATCAGCACCTACACCTCTTTCAATGAGTGATACGATGTAGTTCATGAATAAGGCATCACACGGTAATGTAATAGGGCCATCACATGGAAGTCCAAACTCTTCTTCAGACATGTGCAGTAGTTGTCTGATTACCTCGTGTTGAAGATAAGCTAATGGAACAACAAATCGCTTTTGATCAGTTGTATATACCACAAAATTCCCTTTAGAAACTACAGAAGATGATGTGCTACAACTCTCTGCATCATTGTAATTAGACCTTGGAAAAGAAATTCTCTTCCTCTGCTTAGCTGCAAACTTCTGCCATTTTCTTGCCATCTTGATGAGTTTCTTAGCACTTATCCTATTCATATTCTTTGAAATGTAGGAAAGAAAAAAGTTGATGATCTTTAAAAAGATTTGATTTAGTGCTATCTGCTTGATGATCAAAATGGCACTTGGAAACAGATTATTTATAGTTGAGGTTAGAGAATGAGTTTGAATTGTAGTTAAAGTTGCCAACCGGGAATAACTATGCTAGACAGAATCATGTGCTGCTGTTCAATATGGGACCTTAGGAATTCTTGATATAGTTGTCTAGTTTTTATGTGGTATTTTATTCTGCTAAAAATTAAGTGCTTGTCAAAGATTTTAGAAGGCAATACCATGTGATACTTCATGTGGTGTTGTCTTTCTACTACTTGTGCTTAACTTGAACGAAATTTACAACTTCTTTAATATTTTTTTGTATTCACATGGAAATCTTCTGAGATCAATCCGTAGGCACCAGTACAGCATTGTTTCGGATAGATTAGTCAGAAGCCAGCAGTAGGGCCTGTCATTAAGCATATATCAGAACAATAACTTTAGGTCTAGGCTTGTGGTATTATCTTTATTTTCAGCAGATGTCTGATGGTATGAACACCTTATTGGTCCACAGCTCAAAACTATAAGGGGTATTGATGTTTGGTTGAATGGTAGCCGGTAGGGTCTGTTATATTGAACAATATGGTCTAAATTTATAAATACTTGACAATTAGGAGCCATATCATTTTTTCTTTTTATTTAACATTAGTAGAGTTTATGACTCATTCTTATACACACTCTAAGTTTTCTTGTTTTCGAGTTGCTTGAATTTCTTCCTTTTATTCCTCTATAGCTAGGATTTATTCATCCGAGTTACTGGTATAATTCAATCTAATCGAGTCCTCAAGAAGTCCTCAACACTGGGAGATTTTCCAAAGGGTCAATTTACTGCCTTTTCATTGGAAAAAGTTGTAAGAGTACAATTTCGACAGGTTTCCAATGAAAAGGCAGTAAGAAGAGTACAATTTTAACGATTTTCAATGAAAGGGCCAACAGAAATTTGTGCTTTGCCAGTAGTGAAAGTTATCATTTCAAGTTTTCAACATTATGTTAATTAGTGAGGTTTATCAACAGACAAAGAGGATAATGTAATATTACGGACTGATCTCTCTAAAAGAAAAATGCATTTTTTGTCATTCGGTTAGTGCAATTGTCAACAGATGCAGATGCAAGATATAAGTTTTTCCCAAGTATGAAAGTAAAAAGGAAAAAAATAATATTGTCACCAAGAATTCTTCAATGGCTTCATCAGCAATGCTGAAAGGTACATCTCGTTTAGCTCGGGACCTCTATCGAGCTTTCTTCCCACGATCCACTTCACCTTATTGAAACCAATACTATCGATAAGTGGTGCATACTGTTTCTCCAATTGCTCACCAACACAGAAGAAATGGTCAAGCCAAAACAGACCACCAGGCCTTAACACCCTATAAATATCAAAAAGCAAGAAGTGGAGAAGTGTTTCTGGTATCCAGTTACTCAACACATGCATTGAGTGTACAATATCCAACGTGTTGTCAAAAAAGGGTAGTCTTTGTGAGATGCTAACATACAAAGGTATGACCCCTCTTGAAGCTATAAAACTATTAAACGGACCGTTAAGGTTCATTGATGTTGTTACAATTGTTACATTCCTTTCTCTCATTCTTACAGCAAATGTAGCCACACCACCTCCAATATCGAGCCCAATTCTAATTGTTCCAGCCTTCGTTACTGCTAACACTTCATCGATAGAGAAGTCAAGACCAGCACCATTTTTCGCTGTCCAGCGACTTCTCTCTCTGCCATTGAGATCAAAACAATCTTTGCAATCATCAAATCCTCTCTGAGTCTTAGCACGATTGACCAGACAATCATAATTTTTGCAAGTAAACGCAGTCCATACAACAGAAAAATCCGATGGTGTTCTCCATAGACTCTCAGGAAAAGGATAAGGCTCGACATATTCTTGTGGAGCAACTGGATGACATCTACGTCGAGGAAGTGGCTCACAACCTTTAAGAAGCAACTTTTGTGCTAAAAGTTCATCATCAGGGCAAGAACCATTGACATTATATGACATGTAACGATGAAGTAAATCTTGAAACAGAGTACATGGACGCCCAATCGGAGGCATGATTTCATCAGAATCAAAGTTTTTGTTGAATCCACGCGGGAGTTTTTGTGGTGATGTGAAAGCAAGGAACTCAGATGGAAGATTTTGATCAGTTTGTGTGGTATCAGATTCTTGAATAGCTTCATATTTAGGTGTTGGCTTAGTCAAAACAGTGGAAGGAGCATTTGTTTGTTGGTTAAGTGTACAAGAGGAGTTAAAAGATGTAGAAATGAAAAATGTTAAGAGATTTGAGGATACAAGAAGAAAAGCAAAGAACAAATAAGATGAAAGAAATTTGGGATTTTGAGCAGAATCCATTGAGGTTTCTGTGTCTGATCAACTTTGAATCCTCTATATGCTAATATGTTACAAATCGAGCGACATGGTCAGTAACGATTCATACCGGTGAACGCTTGTAATAATGCCTAGTGTGATTAGCACCAAAGGATTTAGATTCTTGAATAGCTTCATATTTAATTTAGAATTGTGTTCTAAGTTTGGGTGCTAAGTCAATATCTTTGTATATATATTACTCTCTCCATCCTAATTTATGTGACACATTTCAAATTTTGAGATTCAAACAAATCTATTTTTTACTGTAAATTTTTCATATATCTTTTAAATATTTTGGATTGTCAATTATTATGACTTATAGTGCTTTTTATATAGTTTACAATTATATATATTTATTTCAAAAAATTAAAGATTTCATGCTCAAATTCCCGGTCAAACTTAAACTGTTTGATTCTCGTAAAACGAAATGTATCACATAAATTGAGACAAAAGGAGAATAAGTTTTCAATATTAGCATATAGTATTCTGGTAAAATATAATGGGTGCTTGAGCACCAGTGATCTTAATGTAGGTTCGTCACTAATTACGAAGTTCACGCTAATTCACATTGGTTCATTTTGCTATGCCGAGCCTTTTGCTCTTCTAATGTACTCCCTCTGTCCACAATTGTTTGTCAGGTAAGGTCATGCACATCCCTCAAAGAAAATTTAATACAAGGTGTAATTTGACTAATATAACCCTACTATATCAAGAATACCAAAAGTCCACATAACTTTTCAATTGAACTACACAATCATTAAGGGCAGAATTGGAAAAAAGTGACTAATTATTTCTTGATTGTTTAAATTGACAATTAATCTTGGACATCTATTTTTAGTATACCTGCCAAACAATTGTGGACGGAGGGAGTAAAAGGTTTGTCCACCATTTGTCAAGGCCAAAGAATATGTTGGAAATCTTAGAGTGGAATTTAATACATCCATCGGATCGAAATTATATTTTGGTGTTCCCTTAATAACGAAGTTTTTTTCTAAGTGGAGGTTGTGAGAACTTGTAGAAGGTCACTTGTGTAACTCAAAGAAATTCAACTTTCATATATTCTAGAATAGTTTAATTATTAGTCTATGCACCAAGAACTAGGTTTTGTATTGTTTAATTATGATTTCTTAAATTTTAAGGGTCAAATTAATTGGCAGCTAGCAAGTTATGAATTAGAAAATAAATATTCAAGTTTGACTAATTCCAGTGTTTCCATATGTAGGTCTGTGTAAAGTGTGAAATGCACTTTTCATTTCAAATTATTTATCGCATTTTTCTTATACACATTCCTTAAGAAATATAGTGAGCGTTTTAAAAATTATTTTACCATTATTTATATCTTAAGCTATAATATCTTTTCATTGAATATTTATTTTATTTTTGTGTCATCTTGTAGTCTTCAAAAACAATTACTAATAAGAGTAAAATGAGAAATAAATTAATCAATTTTATCTTAAGCTTCTAAAATGACAATAATTTGAATTAACTATTTTTAGAAATCACTGGAAAAAAAATTGAGACATAGGGAGTATAAAAGAAGCAATTTGGTTATTTTTAATCCCATTTTGAAGGCGTTTTTAGCTGCATATTTTATGGACGGATTCACATGATATCAAGTTGAATCTGGTAATTAAAAAATTCTTGGAACTTGGAAGTAGCATTGATAATTAATTAATCATTTTTTGAAACGAGATCTTTAATTTGAAGTTGAGTGCCATGCTTTAAAACGTGAGGGTTATTTTGGACATTTTAGTTATTTTAAACCATGTATTTTTTTATTTTATTTTATTTTAATCCATGTATTATTAATTCTCTCCTCTTTATTTTTTTTAGTACTGAAAACACTCCTAAACTTTGTACGAATTATTAGTTTCATTCTCAAACTATTGACAATCTTAAAAACACACGTCTTTTTGACTAACTGAACTTAAATACACCTCTCTCATGTCATACACATAAACGTGTTATTCACGTGCGTACATGTGAAGTTTTCTACTGATGTGACATATAGATAGATACTTGTATGACATGAGAGAGATGCTTTTTAACCAGTTAGTTAAGTAGATTAGTAATTTTAAGATTGTCAATAGTTAGGAAACGAAATTAATAATTCTCACCAAAATTCAAGGACGAAAGTACCAACCTCATATTTATTTTATTTTTAAAATATCATGTATTACTTGTCATTTTCTTATTGGGTGAAATAAGAAGTCTTACTCCTTAAGATTTTTTTTCATATAACCGTCCTTAGATTTTCTCCTTATAATTTATTCGATCTAAAATAATATGCCAGCCTCATGACCTATTTTTTTTCAAAAAGAACAACAAATAATAATAATAATAAAAAAACGTCAATGACTTGTTTAATGAATATAACTTATTGTTAAATTATTCTTTAGTGGAAATACACAAGAACTAGTTCAGTTAATTTTATTATTCTTCAATATAATACAAAAATAATTTTTAAACATGCTTCAATTATTTCTATTAATTATTACAAATATTTATTATAAGAATTATTATTATTATGTGATTATTTTTTTAAAATGGTGGGTCACCGTGCGGGTATAACTACTAAGCCTAATCTTTAACTAAATAATTGTGAATAATTATTAGCAGTAGTATATATGTGTGATATTCCTTTATTTTTCAACATTGGAACCAACTTTATCGTCACACTAATATTATTTATTTTGCATTGCTAACATAGATTTTTAGAAACAAAAAAAAGTGTACATACTTGAAGTTGATATAAAAATCTATAACTCATTCTACTTCCTTGGGTTCAAACTTTAGAGGTTCGACTTTGGAACAAACTGCATTTTTCTTTTTCGATTTTGGGATAAACTTCAAAAATCTTACTTTATTTTATATAATAAATATATTCATTTAGTTTCAAGAAACGAAGTGTTTTTTTTTTAAAAAAAATTATTCATTGTAGTTATGCATACACTGTATTGTGGATATTCATTATATATTTTTATTTCACCCAATAAGAAATAATAAGTAATAAATAAAATTTAAAAAATAAAATAAAGATTGAATTGTTAGTTTCAAGGGTCTAGAGTCAAAAAGGTGAATGGAGGAGTATTTTTGGTAAAATAGGAGGATGAAGGGTATTTTTAGGTTTTTACCTATAGTTCAGGGTATTTTAAGGCTATCAATCGTTCGAGTACAAAATTAATAATTCTTGCCTAGTTCAGGGGTATTTTCAATACTTGTCTCAATTTTTTTTTTAAGAGTCTCACACTCATACAAGAGTTTGAGACTACTTGCTATGTCATGTGACAAATGACGAGGGGGGAGGGGGTGTATTTAAGTTCAGTTAGTCAAATAGTGGGATATTTTTAAGGTTGTCCAAAGTTAGGGGACGAAACTAATAGTTCACATCAAGTTTAGGAATATTTTCAATACTTCTCTCTTTTTTCCTATCTTTTATCCCACGTAAAATGACTTTTCCACATGCCTTATGCGCACAATAAAAATGAATCAAGCACTACATTGCTATTGTTGAATTCTATGACAGAGGCCAACCAAACACTCACTTAATTGTTAATTTTAGATTTTTGCACGTATAATTAGAGACAGATCTAGTTTTAAAGTTATAAGTTCATGTAAATCTAGAACTTTTTCTAGACCAATAAAGTTTTATAGATATGCACATTTATTCATTTTTATATTTTTAAAAAAAGGAATGAGAGGTATTTAGATTTTTATCATTCTGTGATTGAGTTATATATCGTTTGTATCACAACCCAAATGTGTCAAGCCCCGAGCCTACACCCTGGGCGGGACCGGCACCCGGAGACCATTTCTGGCCCTAAGTGAACCCTTGGCCTGACTTTCTTAACTCAGCGGAAACCTAACTCAACAGAATAACTCAATGCAAATGCAAGGTTACAAAACAACTCAACTTATAAAATTTGGCCACAAAGGCAACTCGAATCTCAAAATAGAATATTTACATATATACATAGATCAGAGACTCAAAATTAACTGGCTAACTGTCTATGAAGCCTCTAAAATACTGGGATGGATGTTGGGACAGACCCCGCAACACCCTAATAAAACAAATCTAAGAACACAAAATGATTGAGTCCTCCAGAATGCAAGGAGGCTCACCACTGACTCTGGAGTGCTCAGCTGGATCAACGACGTGCAGGATGCTGATCCGGGGTACCTATATCTGCATCGTCATAAGATGCAGGCCAACTGGCATCAGTACATTGAATGTACGAGTATGCGAGATGGAAAGCTAAACCGCAACTTAAGCTTGAAAAGAGTACAAGAGAACACTTACCTTGGCTCTGTTCGACTTATGAATAACTGAACTCAATATATAAAGCAATAAGACACATGCAATATATAAAGCTTGCAAAATAGTGTAAACAACTTAGCTCGTTAATGATAAAACAATAACGAACTCAACTTTACTTATATAAAAGTAATATAACTTTAGTGGGAGATTCTTTAACCGACAACCACCACTATGAGCCCTAGTGGTGGTACAACGTTTTACCTCACATTGGCCAAGGACCATCCTATACCTGACCGTGATATAGGAAGCTATCTTTACTAAGTGGATCCACTAGCTTAACTTTCGTGATCATCTAAAAAGTATGACCTGGGAAAATCCCATGTTGGCCGCATGGTTCTTATGGAGAGTTGAGTTAATATGAACTCGTGTCCCCAACTCGGTGCTCAAGACTACTCCCAAAAATATACTTTAGCTCATAAGTGTTTTAAACACATCTTTCTTTAGTTTGAGATAATTGATCAAAATCTAGCCCAAAGGCTCACTTGGAATCGATGTTCCTTTCTTACTCAAATGTAAAAACATTTAGAAACTTCTTCGGGAAATACATAGTTCCCTAATAACTTTTGAGAAATGGACTCGACTTTATGCTCTTGACTTAACTTGAAACTTGAGACTATTCACTTGGCTTGAACTCTATACTCTTTGCTCGACTTGAAACTTGAACCTTAAAATGAAGGTAAAACGTTTAAT